TGCTGGGGGTGCACGCCATCCCCTCTTCCAGATTCTTAATGAAGATATTGAACAAAACTGACCCCAGGAACAACCCCTGGGGCAGTCCACTTGATACCAGCTGCCAACTAGACCTTGAGCCATTGATCTCTTCACATTGAGCCCAACAATCCAGCCAGCTTTATATCCACCTTACAGTCCATTCATCCATCCCATACTTCCTTAGCTTGCTTGCAAGAATGCTATGGGAGACTTTGCAGGGCACTAAGGTGTCTGCTCCTTTAAGGGCTGAAACTGCTTAGGGGAGAGAGCCCTAGCAGTCAGGCAGGAAGCCCACAGGTGCAGGTTACTGTGGCAGCAGGCCTAAGGAGGGAATTAGCCTGCACCCGCACCCGGTCAGCTGACCAGAAGAGGCAGGGCTCTGGGCCCATATAAACATCAGGGATGGGACTAGAGAGTCAGTTCCCTGCCAGCAGCCAAAGGAAAAGGATCCTCCAGGGAGGAATTGCCTAGAGATGCTGCAGCTGCCTGGTATGTGGCACTTGGGGCTAATGGGGATGCAGGACCTCACCAGGTACCCTTGACTACTAGGCATTTAGTGCCAGGGAAGAAGTTTGACCCTTTTAAAGGGGTAGAGCACACCCTGAACTTTTTGTGTTATGTTATAGCCCAGGGGCTCATATTTTGGTTGCTGTCTTATAACTCCAGAAGATCGGGCTGAGGCTATTGGGGAAGGAGGAGGCCTCATTGGGGGCCCTCTACAGCGTGGGGACCCCAGCACCAGAGTGGGCGCAGGATTCAGGATGAACAAAACCTAGTGCCAGAGTGGGTGCAGAGGACAAAAGGGGTGAGCAGATCCCAGCGCCGGGGGGCACCAAGAGAGAGACAGAGCTGCGGAGAGCCCAGTGATGACTGAAGGCCAAGCTAAATTAAGCACTTGGAGGGACAATGAGTGAATGCCATCTGCGAGGCTTAGGGCGTGGTAAAGGGGCAGTTTGGAGCCATGCATTTAGCCCATAAGGCTGAGGGTGTCCTGAGAGGCATCCATTTTTGGAGTGGAACCCAAAAGGGGCCCAAGAACCCACACGATTCAGCAGTGTCCATCAGGACCGTGTCCAACAAACTTGAGGGCAGCCTCCCTATTCATAATAATCACCAACAAGATGTGGCAGGCGAGAAAGAAGGGTGCCCATTGGGCAGGATTGGCACAGTCAAAAGGACCTAGGACCCCGTCCTGTGACAGAGGCTGCATCAAAAGCCAAGGTATCTCATGTCCACTGCTTTTCCCACATCCACAGAGCCAGTCATCTCATCATAGAAGGTAGTCAGGTTGGTCAGGCATGACTTGCCCTTGGTGAATCCATGCTGACTGGATGAATATTGATGCCTTCAAACAGAAGACCACCAAAGCATCTGTAGACTGTAATGCCGGCTATGATTCTCCATGCAAAAGTTTCTGCTGTGTCAGCTGCTCCTCCAGGTTTCACATAAAACAGTTTTTGAAGGGCTGTAGCAGGGGCTGCAGTATTTTTCCTCCTCCGCAAAGGTTACAGCCCTATGGAGAGATGACACTTGCAAGCCCTCGTCTGTTATGGTTGGGAGGGAGCCTCTCCTCCTGCGTGAATCTTCAGTTCTTCCCTCCCCTAACTTTCTGGCCGCTCTTCCACCTCCACGTGGCCTGAAAGCTGTTCCTGATGTTCAGAGAGTTTTCCTGTGAATACAAAAGGGGAAAGAGTTCTCTGAGACTCGCTGGCTGGCTGTGGTTCAGTTCAGATGCAGGAGAGCCTTAAATGCCTGTAAGCCAAAGACCATTAACACTCCCCTGATAGCATTAAACATTGAATAATGATTTGCACTGCGAGGGTGTAACCGCCCATGGAGGATTGCATTCTGGTGCAGGTGGAATCCATGTCCACCGCTGTAGGGCACTGACCCATTCTGGTGGTTATCACATACAGCAGCTCATGACCCTCCGCCAGCCTTAGCTACCACATCACTTTTAGCTTCTGCTTTGATTCCTGCTACCGAGAGTCCCACCATGTAGACTGCCTAGACCCTTGGTCTGGTTTCACAGTCCCATTAACGGCCTTTTGGGGACAGGAGGTAGGGGAAGGGCAGAGCCAGGCTCCATCACCTTGTTCACAGTCTAGAGTGGCCAAACCCATAGTGGTTGGGGATATACTCATGATAAAGTCTAGCCTGCCTGAGAGTGCATGCATGATCAGGGCTCTGCAGCCTCCTCCCCAGCCCAGAGCTTCAAGGAAGGAGGTGGTACAGTGCAGCACCCCGTGTCAGAGGCTAGGATGCTTGAGTGCTTCAGAGCAAGTTTGTTCAATGAGCTGGAGGCTTACAGCTAAATCCTTCCCAATTAAAACACCTGCAGCTTTTCAGTTTGTGTTTGCCAGCAGTGCCCAGTCAATACTCGCTTGAGACACTGAAGCAGGTGGATGTACTTGGTCGTTTCTAGCACAGCCTAAAGAAACCTGTGGTATAAAAAGCCAAGGTATCTGAACATCAGATATGTTAATTTAGAGGTTTAGTGCTTCAGATGTAAAGTATTACAACCTGGAACTGGCCTGCCCCCCATGTACTGCCTGGGAATTAACAGCAGAAAGTCTTAGTTATACATTGTGCTCCTGGAAAGAAGCAGCAACACTTCCTGGACCAGCCAAACGGGTCTTGCCTCTGCTTCTGTCCAGACGTGTGCATCGGAGGAGCGTGACCAACAGAAACCAAGCCCGGGGAGATCAGGACAGTGCGGTGGCGCTAAGAAGATGAGAGGACAAACACTAATAATGATCCTGTCTTCAGAGTGACTCTTCCCTCCCACCCTTCAATCTGAATTATGCTTGTCTCGCATGGAAACACAAGGAGTGGGAAGACCACTATCTAGAAGGAAGACCCTTCCATGCCCTCTCTTTGTAACCAAGTCAGGACACAGTCATCCCCTCCCTTGCCTGTACAGTAACCCCCTGGTCCTGCCATTGTGGTATGTGGTTGCCCCTGCATTGAGCTGCACTGTGACCACAGAGTGCTCAGACCCCTGTCGGTTTAGTTTAGGGCCATGGATGCAGATGTTGGTGCATCACTTCAGGCAGCCGGGTCTCAAAAGTGTTGGCAAAACCCCTCTTCTGGGCCCTCTGAACAGATTGTCTGGCACTTCCCTAGAGTGCTGTGCAAACCCCTGGGGAAGGGCATCCTGGGAGTGGGCTGCCTATTTTCCCCTGCTGCTGTTTGATTCAGGCAGGCCTTCTGGCCTTCTGACAATGCATGCCTCACAATTCCCAATGCAGAATGGGGCGAAGAAGGTTTTCAGGAGTCTTCGAGCTTTTGGGAACCTTCTTTGCATGGGGCAGAAAACTCCCTAAACGGGTTCTAAACATGTTGGGTTGAACTGGCACAAACCTTGGTGGGGGATTTAAGACTATTTATTCCAGTTTAAGTGCTGAACTGATTCCCGTGTGGCTTAGGCCTGGCCTGTGTGCAGGTTATCTACCACCAGGACTGTTTGGTTAGCATTGTTTTTTTTACAAAGTTAAATCGATACAGAGTTGGAGTTATACTTGTATAAAGGTGATGGTTTAAACCAGTCTAATTTATTCCCCTTCCCTTTTAGGAATAAGGATGGGGACATACAAAGAAGTTACCCTGAAGTGAAAAGGAGCAGGGCTTTACCGCATGTCAGCTGCTCTGTGATAACTGAATGTGTGCATGCTCTTAACCCAGGGTAAGTAGTAGCTAAACCATGGTAAATTCCCTGTTTCATGGGGAGCTAAGGTACCACTGAGCAGCTGATGTGTGGTAAAGTCCTCACCCTTTTATTCCATGATAAATTATTTGTGTGTCCATACTGTAAACTAGGTCTATGTTAGCTACTTTATACCAGTGTAAATGCATCCACATACTACTGCTTTCACGTAGTATAGCATATACTGCAGTGCCGATCCTATATACTGGAACGCATTTAAACGTGAGACCGTATAATAATATAAATGTAATAGCTATAGTATAAATAGTATGCTGTGAGTATATGATACCTAAGCCTTTAACCTACAGTAAAATGAGACCCTCTTAAACCAAGGCAGGAATGCCCACACAGCCATTACCCCCCATATGTGGATTTAAATCCTAAATTAAGTAGCCGTAAAGTTGTTATGCAGACAGGCTTCTTTTAGAGACTGCTTTTCTAACACCATAGGAGGTGCCTTCTGGAGGCTCTGCTATTTGTCCCCATTTGCCCCCGAGCTTATTCACTTTTACTTATTGGCATTGCATTTCGTGTTATATTTATGTTGAAATTCTGTGGCATAGATCGCATCTGTGATGCCAGTTTATCCCATCCTACGCAAACCAAAAATAATTGGCCAATGCTCCTTTCTGGCTCTGGTGTTTACGGAGCCATGATGCTTCTGGCGTGGTCCTTCCGATTTTTTTTGTTTTTTTTAATCAGTTGTGTTGAGGAAAAAAAACTTGTTTAGAGGACTGCGGAAACCAGGCCTAAATATAACCCTAGCATACGTTTGGAGATGCATTTGTGCAGGACAAAAAAAAAATCTCCTTATCTCGAATTACAGCTTTTGCAGCAAACAGTTTTCTCCGTAGTTCAGTTATTACGCACATGGTGTAATTGCAGTTGATCACATGACACTTAATGCATTAAAAAAATTCCCTAATGGGCACCTTAATTTAGACCCACGGTTCAGTCAGCTAGTACAGATTTATGCTGAGTGATCTTGCTTCTGCTCTGTTGACAATTTTATACTGTGTAAAATCTTGAAGCCATTATATTTCCTGGCATGCCTGCTGAGAGAAGACTCCTAGGTTCGGTGCCTCGTTCTTACAGTTGGCTTCTGTAGGCCGACATTCCTACGCTTCACTGCTTCTTGGGGGAAATCGTGCCACCCACAGCAGGGGTGTGAGGACTTCCTGATCAGCATAAAGTGCTTTGCAATCCTGCAAAAGATGGCAGAGAGTAGAAGCTAAATGTCATCATTTGGTTGTGATTATTGAATCTCTTTCAGGGAAGTTAAAGGAATGGACCCTCTTTTTGTATGGCACGGCTGAGCACCCGTACAACACCTTTGGCTCCCATCACTCCCGATCAAGGACGATGAAAATGTCCAACTCGGAAATGGAGTCCTCCAAAGTGTCGTTCTTCCAGAGTCAGGTGGAGGTGGTGGAGGAAGAAGAAGAATACGCAGGTAAAAACTTCCCAACCCTCTATCAACTGAATACGGCTTCCCTGCAAGAAGTAGGACCTGCCTATGGTCGTGGTTCTGTGTTTAGGGTTTGTTTCTTTGTGGAGAGGAAGAAAAGAGGCTAGAACATCCTTATCCCACTTGGCCTGATCCTGGCTGATGTCACCAGGAGACAAGTACAGCTTTGGCATATGTAGATTATGAAGCTTATCCGGGTCCACAAGCATAAACCCAGGAAAAGCTCCTGAAGCTTATATGGGTAGTGCGAGAAAGTCCTTGGTGAGAGCATTTTTTCACCTGAAGTCACTGGCATGATGAAATGCCTGATTCTCACGTGCACAAAGGCTCCTTTGCATTGGGTCTGTATTCCCTGCTGGGAAGCATACGCGGGCCTGTGCATACATGCAGATCATCCCCAGGCATCTTCCGTCTTGGCTTTTGTGTTGTAACCATCATGCTTGGAGACCAGGGCTGTGTTGCAGCAGGGGTATAAAGCAGGGCTGCATTGCAGCAGGGGTATAAAGCCTCTTCTCCAGCCAAGAGCCTGCACCCCAGGTTACATCCCAGCCCTGCAATTACGGTTTCGCTGCTGTGGTCGACAATGGAAGATGAGGGATGAAGGCTGCCAAAAGAAAAAAAATGTCTCCTTGGCACAGATTTGTCTTAATTACCTGCAACACCTTTAGCAGCAAATGCAACAGAGCGAATTCAGAAGTGCCTACGTTACACCAGGCATTTGCTGAACAGGCATCAGTTCTCTGGGCCTTTTGACTTTGTCCTTAAAGGATTAGCAAGAAATGCCTTGTAGCTTTGGTTTGGCAAACGCCTGTAGGTAAATATTATGGCTGCTAGGTAAATGTGAGGCTGCATTTTGAGCATACACATTTCTGATTTATGTAATATCTTTCTACAGACGAACAACACTGACAATTCAGGAGTTCAGTGAATGATTCGCTTAATGCATTTTGGATCACTTGCACTGAAATCGCCACCAGTGCCACTCAGCCTCCTTTTCCAAGTTTCCGTTTCTGAAAAACAAGTCTTAAATTATTGACACGTTAATCTGCTGTGTTGCTTTTCCTGTGGTCTTATAAATTACGGGGAGACATTGCGAGTATTAACGTGCAGCAGGATAGGTTTCTGTAAATCCCAGTAACATGGAGGATCGTTAAGTGTAATGAGAAGGCTCTCTGTGAGCCAGACACGTGAACTCCTAGTGCCCGATTGCTCCCATCAGGCTTTATCTCGCTAACCAGCCTTGGTGTTGAACCCAGGGTGTCTGGTGAGCTCTGGGCCCATCCACGTGGCCCCTGGAGCGGTCTCCAGACTGCTGCTGAAAGCTAAACTGCATCCACCCACTTGCGCTCCCCGTGCTCCGAGTCTAAACCAAAGCAGTGAGGATGCTGCAGGGGCTCCCCCTGCCCTGCTGTCAGGTGCACCAGAGGCAGAGATTTCAGGAGTGGCCATCGGAGTCATCCCCTGAGCATCCTTAGTGTAGACAGGTCTTTTGTCTGCTAATTTGTATTGAAAATCCTTCCCACCTCTACTTGGCCCTTTCTTCTCCATACCCATGTGGTCTCTGGTTCCTGGCACCACAGCCCCCCGCCCCAATCTAAATCTCCCCCAAGTTGGATGAGGCTGCGCATAGAGTTGTCTCTTGGGCCCAACCCTAAGGATGAGGAGGCAGATATTGCAAGGTGTTTGGGTGCCTTGATTCTGATGATTTCGGTGGGAATTAGGTACCTAAATACCTTCCAGGATGTGGACCGAGTTACGTGGTTAAGGAGCTGGTGGGTTTGAAAACTGAGACACCTCTTCTCCTTCATCTCGCTTCCTCCTCTTTTCTCTGGACCAGTCAGCATTGGCCAGTGTTTGGGTTGCAAAGAGTTTGTCAAAAGATAAAATAAGCACGGTTAACGCAGCCTGAGGGACCCAGCAATGGGACTGAGAGCTTCTAGCGTGCTGCTTTGAATCTGGCCGCCAACAGCACAGCCACGAAAGGTGTCTCTACGTGTCCCAGTGCGGTGCCATGCTCCTCAAGCAGGACAGCTGCGTTAGCTGTGGCACTGCACCCAGACTCATCTGTCCTGCTTCTCCCCAAGGTGATTACCCAGAGCAGAGCGATGCACAAAGGCAGGTCTCCTGCTCCCAAGGCCCAAGCTAGCTCATGTAAAGGAATGAGCTCAGACATGACCTCAGGATGCTGGGTGAGCAGAGCTCCTGCTAGGATCGCTCACTGGGAGATCTTCGTCCAAGGAAATCAGTGCTCATGTCATGGTGCGCCTTCTTGCTGCCTGGTGTCTGGAAGGACTGAATGGACAAGGGGACATCTGTGGTGTGAGGGTGGCCCTTGCTCACCAGCACTGAGCAGCATGTGAGCTGAGCGCCGTTGCTGTCCGTGCTGTTGCTGCTGTTGTGTGAGGGAGCACAGGATCTACCAGTTGCCTCCAAGCTGCAGTTCAGCATTGCTGTCAAGACAAGTGAATAGAAGAAAGCAGGTATCCAACAGCAGTGTTGCTGTTGGCATCGGGGGAGCACCATGCTGTCTGCCAGGGGTCCGAGTCAAACAGCTGCTTGGTTGTCGATGTGAAGCGGGGCTGAGCTGTTGCACCGTGCAGGTTTTTAAAGCAGGCTGTTTCTGGATGGAGCGACTCTGAGATCAGGCTGGACATGAAACACCCTGGCCTCCCTCAGCTGTTTGTGCAGCAGTGCTGGTGCGGTGTGCGGGGAGGGGGCAGGCACTGTTGTCAGCTGAACAGAGCCAAACCGCCTGGACGCGTTCTGTGCTGCCAGCCCACACGTGTACTATAAAGGAGCAGATAGTCCAGGACAGACTATGTAAAGGGATCAAATTAGAGGTTGAAAAAATGGCGGGTTCCATCACCCCCACCACAAATTGGTAGTGAAGATGTCAGGCAAGTAAAAAAAGATCTGCTGTCGACATTTCCCAGCCCATGGGGATGGGGCAGCTCCAAGCCTGGCTGGAAGCCAAGCAGGCTGTCGCCCCAGACAAAGCTGCTGGAACCGGAGCATGGAGGGAAATGCAAACGTGACAGTGGTGTTGGCATAGATGGGCAGCATTGTGCTTGGAGATAAAACCTAGGCCCTGAGCACGTGGAATGAGGTGGTAAAGCTTGAGGGGGCTGTCACCAGAGGCCTGTGGCTGGTGCTAAATCATGATGGGAAAGGGAGTTCAGCCTGGTCAAAAAAATATGAAGCTGGAACATGCTTCTTTCCCTGCGATACGGACTTGCAGAGAAATAGGACCAGAAGGGACCAGGACAGCTAACTCAATCCAAACCATTCCAGATAGACACGTGTCCAACGTGCTCTTAAACACCTCCAGGGATGGAGATGCCGCATTCTATTCCAGCACTTTGCTGTCCTTGCAATTGGAGAGTTTTCGTGATGTCCTACCTAATCTGCCTTCTGGCAGCTTAAGTCTGTTGCTTCTTGTCCTATTCTCATAGAGAAAAATCCTGTTGCTTTCTCCTTTATTGCAGCCATTTACCCATTATCATGTCTCCCTCCCAGTCTCCTCTAGAGCAGACTAACCCTGTGCTTTCCAGTCTTCCTTCCCAGGTTGTATTTTCTAGGCTTCAGATTGAGTTCTGTTGTTTTCTTCTCCAGTTGGTCCAAAGGCAGCACCCAAACTTGGACACAGTGCCCCAGGCAAGGCCATGTGCTGTGCGGAGTGGACTTGTCTGGCCCTACACACACTGCACCTAATTATCTATCTGTAAACCATGTCTCCTCAAGTAGTGCTCAGCTCCGCTTGGGTGGTAGTTGAGCCATGTACAGTACTGAGGTTAGCGAGCCAGCTGCAGTCTGGACCAGCCCAGCCTTTGCACTCAGCAGAGGCTCAGACTTTTAGATCTAGGGGGAGCTGCGGGTTCAGTTCTTGCTCCTGATGTCCCACCCAGCAATTTCCTATTCCATATATGTATTGGACTGACTATGCACGGGCTTCAGTGACATCAGGGTGAAATCCTGACATCACTGGTATTGCTGGGGATTTTACCATTGACTTCCATGGGACCAGCACTTAATGGCAGTGGCCTGTCTACACTAGGGCACTCAACACTGGAAACTTGGGTGGAGTCAAACCATTGATAATAATGATCAGTCACTATCACTAGATTTCCTTAGGACAGGCAAAGGCTCTGAAAGGGCAGGATATCTGGCCCCTCGTGCCTCTTCTCTGCCTCAGTCTCCCTGGGCTGCCCACAGTCATACCTTTCAGATTCCCAGTACATTTATGTGCCCCACAGAGCTGTTCCCTCCACTGTGTCCATCTCTGCAGAGGATCGAAGCATCTGTCCTGAAATATCCAGTGGTGTTTTTGAAGTGCATTCTTCCATCAAGCTCAGAGCCACTGCTTTGGGGAGTTTTCCCTCCCTGTTTCTCCTGGATCACAGCAGCCTCTTTCTCTTAGAGACTGGAGACTTTTTGGAGTTTTCTCTGATGCCCACTTCCTATTTTATTGGCTCTCCTCAGGCCAAACACTTGTGGTTGTGGACCAAGGACTGTGCCATTCCAAAAAGCATCTTACCGGAGGTGCCAACCTGTAGCCAGACCATGTTTTCTTTCCAGTTCCTTTTAATATTTTTCTGCTTTGTTTCATACACAAATTAGTAGCAGGTGACTATGGACTTGTCCTAGTTATGATAGTCAAATCTGATTATAATAGCCAGGCAACCTCACCTCTCAGTTAGTGCTAAGGAGGGAGATACTGCAGAAGTGGATGTAGAAGAAACAACCTGCGTGTGAATGAGCCTGTGTGTATTTACATGTGTGCGTACACGTATGAACCAAATCAAAGCATTTCTTACTATAGATATGTGTGGGTTTGGGTGAAAAATGTCCCATAGGTATAGAATGGATTCATGGAGGGTTATATCAGGCCTGCACTTTTCCCCTGGAAAATGTTTAAAGGCTTGCTATTTCTTTTTTCCCCTCAAAGGGACAACCCCATCAGGAATCCATGTGTGGTGGCCCTAGCA